GCGCTGTAGCGCTCCTGCGAGAACACCGGCGCGTTGTCGTTCACGTCCAGCACCCGCAGCGCCAGCACCCTGCTGCTCTGCAGCGCCGGCCACCCGCCGTCGGACGCCCGCACCGTCACGTTGTACTCCGACTGCTGCTCCCGGTCCAGCTCTCTCGCTGTCACCACTCGGTAGTAGCTGCCCTGCGAGCTCTCCAATCGGAACGGGACGTCTCCGTCAAGGGAGCAGCGCACCTCTCCGTTAGCCCCTGAGTCTCTGTCGTGCACGTGCAGCAGGGCCACAACAGTCTCCGAAGGGGCGTCCTCAGAGATCTCACTCAGCGCAGACCGCACTGAAATTTCAGGCACGTTATCGTTAACATCTGTCACGGTGATCGCGACTTTTGTTGTGTCAGAAAGGTCCCCGCCGTCTCTTGCCTGAACCTCCAGTTCATAGGAGTTATCTTCCTCCAAGTCTAAGTTCTGCAGCAACGTGATCGCTCCCGTCTCAGAGTCCAGATGGAATATCTCAGAGGCTTTCAAGGAAACCGTTTGGAATGAGTACTTCACCTGCCCATTCAGTCCCTCGTCGGGGTCAGTGGCCGTGACGGTGACGAGGACAGAACCCACGGGTACGTCCTCCGCCACACGCACCGTGTACTCCGCCTGGCTGAACACGGGCGCGTTGTCGTTCGCGTCCAGCACCGTCACGCGGATCCGCGCCGTGCCCGTCCGGGCTGGATCGCCGCCGTCCATCGCCCTCAGCACCAGCTCGTGGAACGCCGCCTCCTCCCGGTCCAGCGCCTTCGCCAGCACCAGCTCGGGACGCTGATCCCCGCCGGGGCCCGTCTGCACGGCCAGAGAGAAGTGCTCGTCGCCGCTCAGCTCGTAGTTCTGCAAGGAATTACGTCTCAAGTCCGGATCAAGAGCCCTGGGAAGTGGAATCCGTGCACCGATCGCTGCCGTCTCGCTCAGTCTCAGATCTTTTTCTGCCTCTCGGAAGCTGGGTGCATTGTCGTTAATATCCGTGATTTCCACTTGGATTTCATAAACCTTCATTTCTCCCTCCACTATCAGCTCACAGCGCAGCACGCATTTCTCCACCAGCCGGCACAGCTGCTCTCTGTCGATCCTCTCGGCCGTCATTAAATGTCCCGTCTTTCCATGCAGAGCAAAATACTGCGTCCTACCTTCGGAGATAACACGGACGCCGCGGTCGCTGAGCGGTGGTATCTGCAGCCCCAGGTCCTTGGCTACGTCGCCCACGAACGAGCCCTTGGGCATCTCCTCGGGCACCGAGTAGCGCAGCTGCCCCCACGCCGCCTCCCAGGCCGCCAGCAGGACGCCCCAGAGCAGGACTCGCTGCCGCCGGCCCCAGCGCCTCCGCGCCGAGTACATCGCCGCCACCGCACCGCCGGCACCGCAACAGCGCAGGCAGATCCCCTCCACCGGTCACCGATCTGGCTCCGGCTCCTTCTCCGCGTCGCCTCGTACGGCTCCTCTGTCTCGGTTTACCACGGTTTCGCACCGCGGGGACGATCACAAACCGCCCGGCCGCAGATCCAGCGGTCCGCAGCGGGCGGGGCTGCAGCGCTCCGACCTTCCTCTCGCTCCTCTCGGTCAACAGCGGCGCCCGCAGCCTCCTCCCGGCACTGCAGGCACCGAGCGCCGCTCTCGCTGCCTTGACCACGGGCAGAGCACTAACTTCGCATCCCAGATAGCCGGGCTTTCCTGCCTTTTCGTTTCTCCAGCCTATCTCTTCTTTGATCTACCGATGTAAAGGCAGAGTACTCCTGCGTGCTTAGTATTTCTACCGCACGGGGAAAATGTCTTGCTAATGGTAATCTATATGTAAAGTAAAATATTTTCTGACGATAATTTAACGTATAGAATATTGTTACTTCTCCAACACTTTGTTTGAGGTTCTCTTTTGCCGTCATGCTTGAATGACTGGTACGAGGATAACAAAGGAAAACAAGCACTGTGTAGGAAATACGCTAAAGATACATAGCCCTGCATAACAGAGAATAAGAGATATCAGGCTCATTAACCCAACCGGGTGGAACTTGGCTTTAAATACTTCAATTCACACGAAACACGGTCTAAATTAACTACACCAGGCGGCGTCAGCCACTCCACTGGCCCTGCCTTGACCACGAGCAGCTTGCCGGGACGGAACAGTCGCCACGGAAACATGGGGGCCCGTGCAGCGGGGACCTCCCTCCTCGGCTTTTCTTCAGCCGATTACTGGCACGGGAAGAGCAAAAGAATAGATACTCTGAGAAACAGCATGGGATGATCACATGCACCACTAGAGAAATAGAGCATTCTCTCTCCTGAACTGAAGCGGTGGGATCATTGGTTTAGTTTCTGCAGTTAATAATCAACAGGGTCTAAGTTAAATTAACTATCCTCACAGCAGTGGAGAACGTCTGAGAACAGACATTTCAAGGCGGATGAAACTAGGGTCGCTGCATTGAAACTGACAGCCCTAAGCACCCCAACCCTTTATATCTCCCGAGTAACTGCGTTGCTGAGGAACCTGCCATGCGCTCTGCTCTCTCTCCCTGGAAGACCTTCCTGTTAGCAACGTCCCGGATGAGGCTTCCCTACTGTTCAAAATCCATTCTCTCTCACACTCTGGTTTTAGGTCACCTGGTCACTCCGCACTGAGTGTACAACCGCTGACCACGAGGCGGGAAACACCTGCAGTGAACCTGGCCAGAATCATCTCCTTGTCTCCCCACACACTACAGGAGAAAAAGCTTGTAAGTAATGGAAGAAGGAAAATAGGAATATCTGTCTTGGCTCCTGTCCCTGTTCTCCCACCCAGCTTTTGTATGCACCAAATTTTTTCTAATGCATGCATATTCCCAATAGTCTCAACAGTGGTTTTGAACTGGATGAGAGCAAAGCCGTTGAAACACCTACAGAGTCAGGAATATTGAGAAAGGAATGTTTCTAGACTTTAATGGGTGATTTCCATTCGTGAGAAGACAAATAATTCTCTGCTTCATATCGTTTATATACATTTACACTGAAACAACTATTTCAATAGGTTGAAGGACCAGAAAAATGCTTTCTTGATGTCAGAAATCACAGTGTAAAAGATTGACGCTTGCTACTAGAGTATTCACCTGACCTTAGAGTGTTAATTTTTATATGACACCTTTTAAACATAATATAAATACAAGACAAGTACAGCTTCTTACAGCCAAAACAACTATTGCAAGAAGTGGCTGAGGTCCATTTAAGGGGGAGTGGGAAGACGTAGCTTATACCCAGAATGGAATACATAATACGTCCCGGCTGGGCTACAATTTCTGAAGAAACATACACCAAAATATGGTGGACACTCTGTCCCTTCAAGGAAAAAAAAGAAAACAAAAGAAAACAAACAAACAAACAAAAAAACCACACCAAAAAAACCACACCAACTTCATTGTTCATGGTAAAAGGATCTATGTTCACCTCTACACTTATGCAGGAAACTCGGGAAAATCATGCCCGAATAAAATATATCTCTCCCAATAATGCTACCATTTTTACAGTAGCCTTTTCCAAAAAGATAGGAGGGCACACGACACAGGGCAAAGAGAGGATCATTCCCGAAGGAGGAAAAAGCTGTAAATTCTCCTTTCACAAATACCAGTTTCAGAAAATAAGTGACGAAGGAAGAAAAACAGCCAATGTCAGATGAACACTTTTCTTCATCATGCTCGATCACTAGTTTAACGTGCTACACTCGATCACTACTTTAACGTGTACAGTGCTACCAGCTCGAATGAGAATTGCAGTCAAAAGTTCTAAGCACAACATGAGATTGTTACTACCTAAAAAAACTCAAGAAAAACCAATGCTAACTATCCGCATTTAGGAATTAGGAAGGAGTGACACAGTTCATTCAGTCATCCACGGATATCCAGAGTAGCATTCCCGACATACATAAAACGGGGAAACCGAGGTGATGGACAACAAAATTTCGGAATAGATCAAGAACTGCTGGAGCGCGCGGGCTTACATACCTGCGGTGCGTCGAGGTCGACAGGCGGCTCTCCCGGGACGGCGCTGCTGCTCGGGCTCGGCTTCTCGCAGGGCTCCCCGGCCAGAAGCTCCTCGGCGGGCAGGATGGGCAGCGGTGGTGGCGGCCAAGCGGCCTCGGCGGCGGCGCGGGCCGGCGCGGCCACGCACAGGTTGTAGGAGTAGGGCAAGGTGCCCTCGCAGAAGTCGGGCGGGAAGGCGGTGCCGGCCAGCGAGAAGCGCTGCGCGCCCAGGCAGCGCAGCACGGCGGGCGGCCCGGCCCGGCGCAGCCGCGCCAGCACGGCCAGCGCCACGCTGAGCACGAAGAGCGCCGACAGCAGCGCCAGCGCCAGCACCAGGTAGAACTGCAGCTCGGCCGGCGCCTCGGCGCCCGCCGGCCGCTCGCTCAGCTC